TAGACCAGGTTTAGACCAGGTGTATCTGCCGCGTCATCGTTGTAGCAGCTTTAGTTCGTTGTCACGTGGGAGGGTGGAAGAAATACGCTGCTAAAAAAACGCAGAATCAATCTAAAAACCACTTCGGCGACAAATACAAGGCCCACACATCACTCTTAGAAGGAGGAAAGCTCTGAAAAGTTGATTTTGCATGAGATGGGCCTTTAAATTTTAGAACCCTTTGTGGCCCACGGTCAAAAAGTTTGCCCAGTCCTGGTTTAGTGGCAAAAAAATTGGATTTAGTGTTTAGTTCAACTTTTAAAAAACTCTTGTGAGCTTTAAACCATGTCATAATGTTGTTACCTCCTCATAAACAAACCTGGAGTTGTGTTTTGTTTCATTCACATGTTTGAGTAACTCTTTATTATTAGTCTGTTTACATCTCCAAAGCTCAAAATGCTCTGTTTCACCTTGTGATGTCATGAAGAGGTAGTTTTCAACAGTTCACCTTTGGTTCAGTCGAGATTCCAGGGCTGAAATGATCCAAATGATTCTAGTGAAGGTGTGTGGAATTTTAAAACCACGGATCTATAAATAGAAACTGGAGAAGGCGTCGACCAAACACACACCTGCACAAAAAAACTATGTCAATCTTTTGCGCTTCGTTTGTGCTGCGAAAAGTTTCGTCTGTGCTGCTCTGGTTTTGGAGATACTAACGATACTTTTATAGGTCAAGTCAGGGTCAGTCAGTCAACACGAGTGAAGATAAACGATCTGAGGCTGTGGAAAAGTCTTTAGTAATTTGCTTTTGTTGCATATTTTATATAATTATACAGATTTTTCCACTGCCTCAGATCGTTTATCTTCACTAGCTGAGCCAAAATGACATCATAAAATTACCGCAAAAATCATAATTAATCATTTTAGAAACATACAAGCACAAATGATAACAGTCAAAGTATAAAACAGCACAAACGAAATACAAACTTTCGTATAATGTTCTGCTGTTTTGAGGCTATTTAACATTTTGAGGGGCTGGACAACGTCATTGACCGAAAATAAAACAGCTATAATATCTTAAGAACCATAATCGCACAAATGAAACTTTTTCCAGCACAAACGTACGAAACCATTTTGAGCCGTTTTAGAGTATTTTGAATCTTCCTGGGGGCTGACCGACTCTAATTTGACCTATAAAAGAATCATTATTGTCTCCAAAACTAAAGCAGCACAAATGAAACTTTTTGTAGCACAAAACAGC